TTTCCCCCTATTTCTCACCCTCTGCCATTTCCCACCCTCATCCCACACTATCTCAGGTGTCTAACATTGTTTTCCATTCCTTTTTTTCACCACATTTTATGGATTCACAAAATTTCTTAAATAATCTAACTACTTTCAATACCAAGCTCTGCTAATATATACATATCTATGAATACATGTCTGACTTTAGGTATGAAACTCTGAGTAGAATGATTATACTATAAGGTAGCACCTAGCTGGTGCTACATTGTTTACTACGATTATTAATTATGTAGTTTTTACTATATTTTTTAATTTCAAGAAAAGCATATTTAGCTTTAATAAATCAAAGAAATGCTAAGGAAATATGTTTAAAATTTAAAGCCAGGAAATAGATTGGGATTCTGTTCAAATAGTAGGTACATGAACCTATCAGCAGCTCAAGACAAGACAAAAATCCTCAAAACCGGAAAACAAAGCCTAGAAGAAAATCAGCAATGTTTTAGTCAAAAGTCATAAGATTCTATTTCACCAGTTCTGTCTCATGTACTTAATCTATCATCTGTTGTGGTTCGATTTTTCCAATTAAATTCTGGGATATAATATTGTCCCCACAGTTAAGTTGGCCAATTTCTTAGTTTCTGAACTCTTATTTCTGTGTGACTATATTTACTTTTCCTGGTATGGCACTTCCTGCAGAAATTCTTGGAGATCTGATCTGGTGTTGGTATATTCTTTCAGGTTTAGTTTATCTGAGAATGTTCTCTTTTTTTATTTTCTTTAGCTTTATTTATTCATGTATTTATTTTAATTTGACCAGAGAGAGACAGAGTGAGAGAGAACAAGAGAGAGGGAAAGTGACAAAGCAAGCCGCCAAGTCCGTGACTTGAACCATAGTCAACCATGTGGGAGTCTGGCACCCTTAACCACCATACCACCTCCAGACCCCCATATTGTTAATTTTCTGAGTTGCTTTATTATTTCTGTGATTGCAAAAGAAAGTCTGTAATTTTTAGACATGTACACTTAAGTGTTTAGGAGTGAAGCATCATGTTATTTGTATTTGCCTTAAGACAAACCTGGAAAATAAAGAGGTAACAAATGTGGCAAACTTTTAACACTTGTAAAATCTAGAAACTAGATACATGGGTATTCATTATACTGTCATCTTTGTTTTACTGCACCTATAATGTGTCTTAGAGAAAATTTTCTTGGGCTGATTCTATTGGGGTTCCTCTGTATTTCTTGGGATTGGATCTTTGAATGCCTCTCTGGGTTTGGAAAGTTTCCTTACAGGATTTCATGGAATAGATTATCAATGCCCTTATGGGTCTCTTCTCTGGGATACCTATAATTCAGATGTTTGGACGTTTGATGGTATCTAGTATTTCTTGTATAATATTCTCTTATTGGGGGGCAATTTTCTCAGTCTTCATGGTGGATTTTTCTAGGTCAGCAATTATATATTTTGCAACTGAGGTTCGATTTTCGGTATAATCTAGTCTGCTTTTAATACTTTTGAGGGAGGTTTTGACTTCATCTCTAACAGGTCCATTTGATTCTTTTTTATAGTATGAATTTACACTTTTAGATCTTGCAAGAATTTCCTCACCTCCTGAAGCTCGTCAGCTCCTTTCCCCTACCTCTTCGGCAGTTCATTGTCTCTCTTCTCTTCTATCTCTGTGAGCTTTGTCACCATGAAAATTCTAAATTCTTCATCTGACATTTCCATTAATTTCATCATGCTGTCTGAGGGTGAAGAGGAGTTATTATCTTTCCTTGGAGGAGAGGTATTTTCTTGTTTTTCCATATTTCTTGTGACTCTGCGGTGATTTCTAGTGATCTGGTGGATGGTGAGTTTCTTCTAATTCCTGAAATTCAATCTGAGTGTTCAGAGGCGTGCAGGAGGAGATGATCTGCAATCTCTCTTCCATTCTGTTCTCACTCTTTGTGCCTCAGAATCAGTGGGAATAGAGAAATATTCTCACCCTAATTGTATTCAGATGTTTAGATCCTGTTCACTTGGACCTGTCTAGACATTTACTGTGTAGGAGCTGAGAAGCCAATGAATAAAGATAAAGATAAAAAAAAAAAAAGAATTAGAGAAGAGGAAGGAATAAAATATAAAAGAAAAAGAAAAAAAGGATCATTTAAAAACTGTAGATTTTAATTTTTAAAAGCAAAAATTGAAAACCATGGGGTGAAAGCAGTATTTCACAGCTGAAGTTCAGGATCCATGGGGAGATGGGCCTGGGTTTGTACCTTTCTAGAAATAAGTGAGGAAGAAGTCCCAGCAGAAAATCTTTATTTTAAATCTCTGAAAGCAGTATTTCACAGCTGAAGTTCAGGATCCATGTGGAGATGGGCCCGGGTTTGTCCTATTCTTCTTCTCTCTGCTATCTAGTCCTTCGGGGGGCGGGGATGTAGACCAATCTCTCATCACAGTGGAAAACAGATTTACTGTAACACCAATTTATTAATCTTTTTTGAGAGAGAAAGAGATTTTTCTATAGGGCACATGCACTTGCCAGAGAGACAGAGAGAGACAAAGAGACAGAAGGTGAGAAAATCACCCCCCAGGGAGGATGGCCATGCCGCAATTTCTTCTCCTCCATTCACTTCTTGGGATTTTGGGGATGCACACACACACACACACACACACACACACACACACACACACACCAGCATGAGCTTTAAACCACTGGATCCAAAAATGAAACCACAATCAACTATATGACGTAATCATTATGCCATCTGCTGATCTGTAACACCAATTCTAACCTCTCTTTTTCTTCCACAGCGATTAGATTTCTTGGTGTTCTTGAAGAGTCAGAAGTTATAGACTCATCAGCTGCCTCTCAAGATACACTTCTATCCTTTCCATTTATGACCATTCTTATCAATAAATATTTGACCACTTTTCCACGAGTGACTCCTTTACTGAAAAAAAGCACTGCCAAAGATCAATGGTGATCAGTAAAATGCTGACTACGGCAGAGTAGGGAACTAGGACAATTGTGGGTAAAAACTTGCATTCAAAACAATGTCCTGATGAATTTCTAACAGTATAATTTTTGGTGAATTAACTAAATTCTCAGGGAACTTCAATATTCTCTTTATACAATTTTAAGATTTTTAAATTGGAGTACAATAGAAATTTCTTAAAATGTTTTGAAGTGAAATTCATAAAGCATACAATTAAGCATTTTAAGGTAAACAACTCATTTAATACATCACAATGTTGTGCTACCATCACCTCTGCCTCGTTCCAGAACATTTTCATCATCCCAAAAGTAAGCAATCATTTCTCAATGATTAAGCAATTATTCTTCATCCTCTCCTCCCCCTAGCTTCCAGCAAACACCATCTGACTTTTTTTCTGGCTGATTCTGGGTATTTCATATAAATGGAATCATGTAATATGTGGACTGGAAGATGGCTCATGATTTAGCAGATTAACCTGTCTTCCTGAGCATGGACTCATGACATAGTCGGAGTCATGACTTTTCTAACGGGTGGTAGAGGAGAGAGAACACGTTTCTCCTTGTCATTTGGACTATCGGGAAGTAAATAGAGACACTTAGTAGCCTTGTTCCATACCATGATGGGAAAACCCACATGAAGTAGGAGGGAATGAGATAGAGGGTTCTTAATCCAGTTCTCTGGGCATCGACTTCTGCCTTTTCCTTGATTTGATTATTTGAGCCAATAAAGCCTCCCTTGTTGCTTACATTAATTCTGTGCATTACATCAAGGAGTCCCATTCCTAGCCTAATCAGAATATTCCACATAAATGACATTTCGTATGAGGAGGCCAATACCCACAAATAGGGAGAGGGAATGAGACTGCAGATCATGTTGTTCCACATGAAGCCACCATTCTTTACTCAGATTTGACACCTCTCCATTGAGCACCCACTGAAGGTCAAGAACACATACAAAAACTTACCAAATTTACAATCCTCAAATTTGACATCTTAATACCTGAAGTGAAAAGAGCTATGGTCTGAATGTTTGTCTCCCCACCCCACCCCCCAAAATATATATTGAAATCTTAACCCTCAAGGTGATGATATTAGGAGGCAGAACATTTAGAAGGTGGTCATGAGAGTGAATCCCTCTTGAATGGGATCAGTGCTGTTGTAAAGGAGACTCCAGGAAGATCCTTCATGCCTTCCACTACATGAGGACACAGCAAGAAGATGCTGCCTATGAGCCAGAAAAAAGGCCCTCACCAGACACTGAATATACCTTGGCTTTGGATTTCTCTGCTTTCAAAACTATGAGAAATAAATTTCTGCTATTTTTAAGTAACTAGTTTATGGTATTTTGTTATAGCAGCCAAATGAGATGAGATAGTAAGGAAACTGATTTCAGAGAAGGCAGTTTCCCATGGCCACACAATTTGGAAGTGAAAAATTCTAGTAAAATACAGAACTGTTGCTCACCAAGCTTTCTTTTTTTGTTTGTTTGTTTGTTGCTTCTATATCTTTAGTGACTTTCACAAAAATATTTTCCCTTTGTATAATCTGAATTCTTTTTTATTCTTCTTTTAAAGAAACATTTATTTAATTTTATTTATCATTATTTTTTTAACTTGCTACAGGGCACACATTTTCACCTTGAGACAGACAGAGAGAGAGAGAGAGAGAGAGAGAAAGAGAAAAAGCAAGCCGCCAAGTCTAGAACTTGAACCATGATCAGCCATATGAGAGTCCAGCACCTTAACCACCATGCCACGTACTGGCTTCTCTTTTTTGTTCTTATAATAATAGTTTTCTTAAATTCTGTACTGATAACACAGTGTATGCATTAATGTGCTAAGTAAAAAGACCTTGTGTTAGAAAGCCAGATCAGCATTAATTTAGTGCAACAGTTCTTAATATTTAGCCTCAAGATGCCTTTACGTTGTTAAAAATTATCAACGTCTTTGTGATGGTTAAGTATAGGTGTCAACATGACTTGGTTAAGAGACACAAAGATGACAAATGCGTCATTTCTTGGTATTTCTGTGAGGCTATTTCTAAGAGAGATTGACTTTTAAATCAATGGATGGAACAAGAATGATCCATCTGCCTTCCATGTGGGCAGACACCATCAAATCAGCTGATGGATCAATAAAAGTTCCAAAAAAAAAAAAGGTAAATTAACTCTCTCCTGGAGCTGGGACACCATTCTTCTCTTTGAATGTCAAAATTCCAGGTTCTCTGACCTTTGGACTCTGGGTTGTACCAGTAGCTCTTCAGATTCTCAGGCCTTCAGCCCAGGACAGAAAGTTACACCATTGACTTCCCTGGTTATCCAACTCTCTAAGGTAGCCTATCATGTGAATTCTCATCCTCCATAATCACATAAGTCAATTGCTCTAATAAATACACCTCTCTCCCTCCCTTACGGTTATACATTTGATTTTGATCCTTCCTTGAATTCATTTGATGATTCTCCAAAAGAATATATCTGTATTCACCACACTGAGATGGATACCAAACTTCAGCTCTGAGATATTGGTTTCCTTGACCAAAAATGAAGATTTTTATCATGTAATATGTGGACTGGAAGATGGCTCATGATTTAGCAGATTAACCTGTCTTCCTGAGCATGGACTCATGACATAGTCGGAGTCATGACTTTTCTAACGGGTGGTAGAGGAGAGAGAACACGTTTCTCCTTGTCATTTGGACTATCGGGAAGTAAATAGAGACACTTAGTAGCCTTGTTCCATACCATGATGGGAAAACCCACATGAAGTAGGAGGGAATGAGATAGAGGGTTCTTAATCCAGTTCTCTGGGCATCGACTTCTGCCTTTTCCTTGATTTGATTATTTGAGCCAATAAAGCCTCCCTTGTTGCTTACATTAATTCTGTGCATTACATCAAGGAGTCCCATTCCTAGCCTAATCAGAATATTCCACATAAATGACATTTCGTATGAGGAGGCCAATACCCCAAATAGGGAGAGGGAATGAGACTGCAGATCATGTTGTTCCACCTGAAGCCACCATTCTTTACTCAGATTTGACACCTCTCCATTGAGCACCCACTGAAGGTCAAGAACACATACAAAAACTTACCAAATTTACAATCCTCAAATTTGACATCTTAATACCTGAAGTGAAAAGAGCTATGGTCTGAATGTTTGTCTCCCCACCCCACCCCCCAAAATATATATTGAAATCTTAACCCTCAAGGTGATGATATTAGGAGGCAGAACATTTAGAAGGTGGTCATGAGAGTGAATCCCTCTTGAATGGGATCAGTGCTGTTGTAAAGGAGACTCCAGGAAGATCCTTCATGCCTTCCACTACATGAGGACACAGCAAGAAGATGCTGCCTATGAGCCAGAAAAAAGGCCCTCACCAGACACTGAATATACCTTGGCTTTGGATTTCTCTGCTTTCAAAACTATGAGAAATAAATTTCTGCTATTTTTAAGTAACTAGTTTATGGTATTTTGTTATAGCAGCCAAATGAGATGAGATAGTAAGGAAACTGATTTCAGAGAAGGCAGTTTCCCATGGCCACACAATTTGGAAGTGAAAAATTCTAGTAAAATACAGAACTGTTGCTCACCAAGCTTTCTTTTTTTGTTTGTTTGTTTGTTGCTTCTATATCTTTAGTGACTTTCACAAAAATATTTTCCCTTTGTATAATCTGAATTCTTTTTTATTCTTCTTTTAAAGAAACATTTATTTAATTTTATTTATCATTATTTTTTTAACTTGCTACAGGGCACACATTTTCACCTTGAGACAGACAGAGAGAGAGAGAGAGAGAGAGAGAAAGAGAAAAAGCAAGCCGCCAAGTCTAGAACTTGAACCATGATCAGCCATATGAGAGTCCAGCACCTTAACCACCATGCCACGTACTGGCTTCTCTTTTTTGTTCTTATAATAATAGTTTTCTTAAATTCTGTACTGATAACACAGTGTATGCATTAATGTGCTAAGTAAAAAGACCTTGTGTTAGAAAGCCAGATCAGCATTAATTTAGTGCAACAGTTCTTAATATTTAGCCTCAAGATGCCTTTACGTTGTTAAAAATTATCAACGTCTTTGTGATGGTTAAGTATAGGTGTCAACATGACTTGGTTAAGAGACACAAAGATGACAAATGCGTCATTTCTTGGTATTTCTGTGAGGCTATTTCTAAGAGAGATTGACTTTTAAATCAATGGATGGAACAAGAATGATCCATCTGCCTTCCATGTGGGCAGACACCATCAAATCAGCTGATGGATCAATAAAAGTTCCAAAAAAAAAAAAGGTAAATTAACTCTCTCCTGGAGCTGGGACACCATTCTTCTCTTTGAATGTCAAAATTCCAGGTTCTCTGACCTTTGGACTCTGGGTTGTACCAGTAGCTCTTCAGATTCTCAGGCCTTCAGCCCAGGACAGAAAGTTACACCATTGACTTCCCTGGTTATCCAACTCTCTAAGGTAGCCTATCATGTGAATTCTCATCCTCCATAATCACATAAGTCAATTGCTCTAATAAATACACCTCTCTCCCTCCCTTACGGTTATACATTTGATTTTGATCCTTCCTTGAATTCATTTGATGATTCTCCAAAAGAATATATCTGTATTCACCACACTGAGATGGATACCAAACTTCAGCTCTGAGATATTGGTTTCCTTGACCAAAAATGAAGATTTTTTTCTGCTGAGACTTCCCCCTCCAGACCCATTTCCAGTGGTCAAGGCACAAACCCAGGCCAGGCCCACCCTAAGATGGATACCATACTTGTGTGAAATATTGGTTTCCTTGACCAAAAATGAAGATTTTTCTGCTGAGAATTCCCCCTCCAGATTCATTTCTAGTGGGTAGGGATAACTCTGTGTCTCATTCTCTCCATTTCTCTTTGTCTCTCTCTGTCTTGCTGTGTCTCCCTGTGACTTTGAATTTAAAAAAAAATTTTTTTT